CGCCTGCCAGTTAGCCATTTATTTACTATAATTTGCAACAAGTGATTCGTTCCTGGACAGTTTAAATACATAGAAGTCACGAATGATCTTGCGACGTTAAAATCTGCGGATCGATGGATAATCTGAATCATTATGCAGTTTTTATCGTTGCTCTTATTGTACTTACAAGAAGCGCTTCAGAAAAGACTTTCTTTCCTTTTTATTATTATCACCGAAAATAGTTACTACAAATTTCAACTATAGAGAATTGATAGTAATTTTGAACGTTAACGTTCAACGTCTTTAATTTCGGAGGAGTAGTACTCTTCCAACGGGAACGCTAATGTTTAATGGGACAGCCCACAAATGAGACGCGTGAAATACCGTGAAAAAGGTAAGAAAAGTGGGTCGAACACGAGCCATCTGGCGCTAAGTTTTTTGCGACGAGAAATACCGTTGAATGATGGGAGCAAACCAGTATCCATTAATTAAAAATTTGTCCATGGAATACGTAATAGTATCCATTGGAAACCAACGCCCATCTTCATGGGATTTGACACTTCATCATTCGTCGAGCATGCACGACCCTGTCATTAAAATGAGATTAGTCTAGCGATCACGAATGGTGTCTTCGTTTCAAACGAACGTTTCGAAACAGTAAATTGTATAACTACTTTTCCCCTTAACTGGTTAATACATAGTTTGACACTGTCGTTTATTGTTAGACATTATGTAATTTCGTTCGTTGCTAAATTTTTGTCGAAATGATTCGAAAAACGTTATAACGAGAATTTGATTATTGTAAAAACGACGTTGAAAGAATAATTTCTCCCTGCTAAATCAAGAGAGCGTAGATCAAGTACGTAGAACTTCGAGAGTAATTGTAAGTATTTACTTGGTTCAGATATTAAAGAATATCACTTCTTCCTATGAAAATGGGATACACGAATAATGAAATTCATTTATTTTATTGAAATACATTGAAGAAAGGAATGTTAACGATTAATAGGCTAAAGTAAAGGAAGCGAAATCATCGAATGACCGAAAAGGTTGAAACTAGAAAAGCTTTGAATATATGCGAAGACTGTAAAGGTGGAAATTATTTGGTAAAACGAACCGGATGGTAGTTTCTACGGTGGCATAGGCGATATTACACGGCTGTAGAATCGGAAGATCGCCTGGTACAGGTTCGGGGCCGGTTATCGGAAAAGCTGGCACTCCAATCAATGCAAATCAAATCGAGAGCCGTGAATACGAAGCGTATAGTCAAATCAACCGAATAAAAGCTTCATGAATGTAAAAGACTGGTGAATGCGAACCAATCTGGTAATGCGTCTTCTCCCTCCGCACCCGCGGTCGGTTGCGCTGCCGCCCTCTTAACCGGGGGTGAGAAAAAACACCCCCGTTGGAATATTGCGTTATGCTGACCACTACGAGCGTTCGACGACTCGTTAAAAAAACACGCGCACAAGCATACGTATTGCGCCTCTTTCTAGCGTTTTTGTGGTTTTCCTAGTGATAAAGGGATCGTCAAGTACTAGAGGGGTGAGATAAACTGTGATTTCCAGAATTTTTAGAGTGGCCGCGAGTTAATTGTTCTAAAACGGGGTTAAACGGAAAGGATTCTTTCTTTCTCGTTATATAATTCTCTAATCTTTCATTAAAAATATCTTAACTTGTAATTTTATTCATTCTCCAAACACGATGCTTGGTGATTTTACATGCATAACAAATCTTTTGATAAACTTCGACTTTTATATTCTTACGAATTTTTTATGCATACACCTTAAGTTTCCCACGTTGCGATTTTGTTAAGAGTTCGATTAATTTGACGGGTTTTCGAAAATTTTCCGTGGTTTACGACCTTCCGGAGTTAAGTCGTGCAAATCCGATGCATCGTGGACGGATTTTCCGGTTGGTTTGGCAGACTCAACCTGTTCGTAATATTCTGCAAAAAACAGAGCAGATTTAATCAAACTATTAGTTGGAATGTTAATTATTATTATAACAAATTTTTACCGTTTTCTGGTCGATACTTCAACGCTTCCCGTCGAAACGGATTACCTCGATTCGCATCGTGGATACTGTAATTTCTGGATTGGATATATATTCCTGCGAAAGGTTATTTTAATCGTTTGAAACTCAACAATTTCAGTGGGTTGGATTAAACGTAGATTTGTATCTATTTTTTGTTAAATATAAATTAATCTACCATCGAAACGTCGGCGCCAGAAATGTCGCAACATCGAAGGTTTAATAACGCACAAATTATGCCAACAATCTGAGTAACTAGAATTTTTAATAATAAACCGATTAATCTTTCTCTCGAAAAGTAATTTGGTTATGAAGTGAAACTCTGTTTGATTTGAAGTTTGCTATTTTAAGTCGTTTCAAGTTTGTATACAAGCTACATTTTCATTTCTATCAGGGATTTGAAACTGTTCGTTTAAAAAATATTTTTAAAAAATGTTGATGACAATTCATAAAAGAAAAGGCACTAAATAACTCTGCTCTGAAATATCTTTTCGAGATTGATGACACGGCGAGCTTTAAAAGTTGGGAAAATCGGCGATAAAGAAAAGAACGCACCGTCGGATGCTGCAGTTGTCTACTTTCAGTTTCCACTGGTTGGTCACCCGCTTCACCCGTTTCACCCGTATAAGGCAAGGTAAAGCAAGGCAAGGCAAGGCGATGGCAGCCGGTTGGCGCAATAAAAATTTGACACGATCGTCCCAGCATCGGTCGGCGAAGAAAAACGGTCGACACGGAGAGACAGGGAGGAAGAACGATCGACTTTACGACTGGTGGATACGCGAAGGGCGAAAAGGGACGACAGCGAAACTCGTTATTATCCGACCGTACTTCTTCGTGGCGTCCAAGAAGAAGACGGCCCTGTACCCTGCAACATGGATTGCGACGGCCGTCGGTGCACGCTCGCTCATCCACGGGCCACTTTCAGACCATAAAGAGACAATGGAGCGTTCTTCTGTTGCCTGGCCCGCTGCCAACCAGTAAACTCTCATTTTCGCGAGGAAGAGGATGCGTTTCCGTTCCTCCGAAGAGGAACGAAGAGGAACGAAGAGAAAAAGATTCGAAGATGCACTTCGAGACTCTTGCTGGATACTTGTTCCACGATTGGGCAACCAACTCCTTGGTAGCTTCGATTTTGCACAAACGACCATGAATTCTCGGTATCGTGACCCGGTGCGTGAACCGTCGGTCAGCTGAAATGGCGCGAAATTCAACGCTTCGCGCGGTTGCGTGTCTAACGTCAGTCACTGTATCCGAATCCTTCGGAACGAAGGCAAAAATTGAATGTTTCTTTAGTCGAAGTTCAGAGAAAGAAGACGAACGAATCTTCATACATGTATTTACGTGTATACCGCTCAGTATTCTCTAATTAACTTCCTTTTCTTAATCGTTTCTTTAGTATCCAATAAAATGATGTATAATCGGCAGAAATCGAGTACACTAGAAAAAAAAGATACCTTCGACGGAATAATCTCGGGTTCGAAGGGATGATTCGAAGACTCGTTTCGAGGTTGGTTGAATATCGTAGGACGTTGCAACGTCGCGATCGTTCAGTCCAATCCGCCGAAAAGGAACAAGGGTGGCGTTCCATCCGGTCTCGTCGCATCGCGCCTCGTGGATCCGCGCATACGTAAGTGCGGATCTGCTTCGAGTACGTCGAAACGAAGAAACACGTCCAGCTTACCGAGGATTAATGTCACGCTTAGGCATCGTCCACTCGACGATGCCGAAGAACACGAGCGCTGATAATGCAACCATTGAAATGGTGCTTCTTCGGATCTTCGGCATGCCGTATTTATGCGTCTAATGTGTCGTGGATCGTCGTCGTCAAAAAGTTTTCGAGTAAATGTCCAAGAATTATCGAACTGTTTAACGAACGATACGGCAACGTCTTTAAAACGCTTCTATCGTTGTTCTCTCGTAAGTACATCGAAACACGGCGACGAACAACAGTAATCCTGGTAAGTGGCACTTTCGTAACATCGATTTCGTGTTTCTGCGTAACGATGACAGTATTATGTCGATGTCAGCGGTTAAACGATGATTAATCGACGTCTGGTCACAGATATCCCGGATTCCGTGGCCCGTCACGACTACCGCGGCAACAAAAAGAGGAAGCCGATGAATAACCTTTAGACCATCACAATATTTTGGGGGACAAAGGTAGCGTGGAGGCCGAACTATTCATTAATAAAAATCATACGATCGTTAGGGTGAAAATATTTACAGTATAGGTAATCGTGGCCTGAACGTGCCAGCATTTTCACCTGCTAAATACTTGGAAGATCGATACGACGATTCGTATTGAAATTATTCGAACGTCTGTTTTATCCCGTGAATTTTAAAACGAAAAAAATGTACCTTCCAAGACACGATATTCTCGTTGTATCGACTCCAACAGCATCTCGAGTTCTTTACATAAAAAATGAACCCGGCTCGGTATGACTTGGACCAATCGACTCGGAAGAATAGAAAAGAAACCGTCGTTTAATCGTCGCACCATGAGTTTGAAATTCCTTTTTCTTCACTTTTTCAAGGGTGGTGGAGAAACGAGTCTCAGCTGGGAATTTCTCAGATGAAATTGATTCGTACGCGATCGCTTCGCGACCGAACCTATGTTCCCTTCGACATCATTCATCCTCTAGCCGTGCCATACTATTAGTACAGTTATTTATGGTGAAAAAGAGCATAGATCGCGGTGCCTATTATGTATCGGGATCTTGGGTCCCCGTGTGATTTATGCTCCGCGGCAAATTGCCGCTTGTCCTTTTGTGAGAGCCAGCAAAGCGAGCCTGATTAAATCCTTTCGGTCTCCTGTAATTTCAGCCACGTTATATGCTGGTCCTTAACGCGGTCATTTCGAATCGAAGAACGTAAGTAGATATTTGGTAGAAGAATAAAATAGAATAAATAAAAATAATACTAATAGTAACGTTAATGCGGTAGACTCCAGTTTTATCGCCATTGACGGAACTGTGGAAGCGGAAAATTATAGAGCGCGGTGAAACAAAGCTTGTCTATGTATAATAGAACGCGTTGCAATAAGAGGCGTGACGACGCTATTGTAGAACGTGACACTAAAAGTCTCGTATATATTATTTCCAGCATTACTCTTATTTCTATTAGCTACGATATCGAGCAGTTGGTAAAAGTATCTCTATTGAACGAAATAAAATAATTCGTTATATAATATGAACGAACAGGATCGGTCATCGGCAAGGAGAAAAATCCTAAGAAACGGGATCGCCCTTCGGGTCGGACTTGTCGTCCAGCATCTTGAAGCCGAAGATCGGATATCGTCGAAGTCTGAGCAGCTCGTGCTCGGTCTGCAGCTCCAACAGCTCCGCGTAATTATCCTGCAGCTTCTTGATCAGCGCGGCTCGCTTCATGATCATCCTGAGCTTCTCCTCCGCGTGTTCCTGCTGCCTCGCCTCGCCGATAAGATCGCGACGTTGCTCCATCTCGCACCTCGCCACGTTCATCTCCAAGATCTGTTGATCGAGCCGCTTGTTCTTGCTTCTGGTGCTCTCGATCTCCGTCTCGATCGACTGCAATCGATCCCTGTACTCATCGAGGATCTTCTCGAATCGCTGGTTCATCGCCGCGATGTGTTCGGTCAGCTGTTTCTGGCTCTTATCGTCCTTCGCACCTCTAGCTTTACGCTTCAGGTACAGCTGCATCTCTTTAGTCACCATTACCGATTCCGTGAATCGTAAATCCTCTCGTAGATCCATCAAGCGTTTACGTTGACAACCGTGTTCCCATTCTTTCATCAGGGTACCTAAGAAGAATAAAGTTATATAATATTACGGGATGACGAAAATGCTTTTGTCGCTGTTTTCGATACTATACCCCTCTGAAAATCCATCAGCCGGCATAAAGCTTTCAGCTTGCACGCGCCCGCGGCTCTGATCAGTTCGTTTACGGATTCGATCTCGTTCCGCGAAACGAGGATCGCGTTTTCGGTGTCCTCTAGATCTCCGGTGGTATCTATCTCCACCTGTCCCATCTTCAACACCAGCTGCACGTTCACGTCCAGCTCGGAGAGTGTTCGACGCCTCCTCGTTTCCTCGATATTCTTCTTCGTTTCCTCCGCTTCGAATCCACATTTCTCGATCCTCTGTTCAAGTCCAAGGATCACGCTTTCCGTGTCCGCGATTTCGGCCTGTTTAGCTTTCACCTTAAATTCTGCGTCGATCTTCAGACGTCTTAGACGAATCAGATGATCCCAGTGCGCAGTGTCTACAGTTGGAGGCAGAGTGGTCGGTCGTACATCCAGATGATCCAAGTGCTTCAGGTAATCGTTGCACTCCGACGGTAAGTAGATCGGTCGCGATCTCTGCACCACGATTTGCCCAAGTTTCAGATATTCCGAAGAGCCCAAATTCTTCAGGTTTGTCTTTGGCCGACGATTGCATTGGCGCTCGAGTAGTTCCACGTTTAACTTGCTCAACAACGGGAACTCGGATTTAAATCTTCTGGACATCACTTTCTGCTTATGAAGCAGCGACTCGTATTTGGAGACCAGCTGCTCGTGGACGGTTTCGAAAAGGTGCAAATCGCCCCTCAGCATATTTTCGCATTCCTGTTTTTGCGTCACTCTTATTTTCATCTCGTCCTCTTCGTGCAACGACTTTGTCCGATTATAAATTTGCGTGCAACCACGTACATAACGGAAGTTCATCTGATTTATAGCTGCCTCGACGTTCATCTTCAGCTAAGGATTCGAAACGTTCGTTGATCTCGTACAACTAAAATTTTTAATCGTTTATAATACCTGGAACAACCGATTCAGTTTGTCGTTGAATTTATCGATTCCTTCTCGAAGAAGACCCATGACCTTGACGTACTCGGCCTCCAGCATCCTCTTGTAACGTTTCCGTTCTTCCTCCAAGAACTCCACGTCCTTCTCGTACTGTTTCACGGCTTGAATCTCTTCCGCGGTATAGTCATCCGGTTTCTTCTCCAACATGAAGGCAGGCTTAGGTACGTCTATCTTGATGATGTCCTCCCATCGAACCTCGAGCACACCGTCCATCATCGCCATTAGAGCGCGTTCGCGAAAGTCATCAGCTAACAACAACTGTCTGATTCGTTCTGCCTCGGCCGCCTGCTTGTCTAGGATTTCTTGCAGCGACGGGGAAATGTAAGGTTTCGCCTTCACTTCGTGATCGAGCACCTTGATAATACCTTCTGGCTTCTCCTACGCGCGCGAAAGAGGAAGTTCGGTCAAGTCGGATAGGAATTAACCGAAGAACGATGTAAACGGTTTCGTTTCGTTTCGTTTTTCCGAAGCTTTTCGTGAGTGAAAATTCGAAATATTTATACTAGTGCACTATACATATACTAGTACATTACACGTATAATGGTATCGTTACCCGCCAGTGCCAGTCAGGATCGATAGGTACGCCTGGTACATTTTGCCCAAACATCACGTTTAGTTCCGAATCGATATAACGTATTCTTTCGATTCTGTCCCGTATCGTATTCATTTCCCTTTCTTTTCTCGCATACATCTCGTCGAACGCTTGATTGAAATATACCCGAAGTTTATCGCAATCGTGCTTCAAGAAACGATTATTTATCGAGACGTGGTTGTACCCGTAACACTCCATTTGCGAATAATAGGACAACGTCTCGATAAACAGATGCGTAGTTGTACCTTCGATAAAACACCTCAATTAAAAATGATAGAAAAAATAATGCGTTTCACGGGTTCGTACGTTTAACGTAACGTTTCGCTTACCTTCCATCGTTCTATCCTCTTTCGTGTCTTCTACGCTGACCTCTTCGTCTTCTTCGTCCTCGAAAAACATATCGATCCTTCGCGCCTCTTCTTCTTTCAACTTCATTCGTTTACTCAATTCTACTTCTAGTTCTTGCTCGTTGTACAATTTCCAAGGTCGAAAGGTTTCGGTTTCTACGATGGTTGACAAGATTTCCTTGCAAAAGGTGGCCCACTGCAGAAGATCCTTGGCGCGAGGCGGTTCAGCGATCGAGGGATAGTTGGTGACATGTTGGCTGCCGAAAATGGCGACCAACGATTTACCCAGAATCTTCTGAGGATTCCAAAAGGCCTCTCGAATCCAATTGGTCACTCTCTTCGTCTCGCTGGTATCGTGCTCCAACTTTAAACGAAGGTCCTCGCATTCGTCGCGACCAGCTTTCAGTTTTTGATCGCGACCCGCTTTGTCCAGATCGAACGAGGACACCGGAAGTCTTTCTATTTCCGGACACGTTTCGTTCTCGTCAAGTAGCTTCTTTACTTTGCCTTTCAACGATCTGAATTCTTGAAGAATGTCCGCTTTCTCGACCTCGCATTTTGCTGTCTCTTCGATAATTTGCATCCTTTCGCGCCACTCTGACCATGTTTCGTCATCCTGCTCAGGACCAGGAAACTCCACTTTCGGACGGGTCAAAAGACTGTAAGCTGTCGCGTCCAAACTAGCATAATCGGCGTTCATTTTTTTCCTGTATTTTTCGTAGAGGTTATAGTCCACCTTGTATACGAACGACTCATCACCGGAAGCGGCTTTACTCTTCTACGCTGAAGAGAAGATACAAGGAGGTTAATTACGGTGAAACGATGTTTGTTTCATACAAGAATCTTCGAAGATAAGAGACTAATAATTTGTATTTAATCGAGAACTAATTGAGAGTAATTGAGAGTAAAGAGACAAGGAGGATGAGAAGAAAGGGAACCTCTGTATCAACGGATATGTTTCTGGTAGCGATCAAGGAACCGTTGTATCCCAGAGACACTATCAAATCCCCGTTCCTATTCATCATCGCTTTCGCGGTACCAAAGTCAGCTCTGTGGTGGGTCATGATGCAAGCCTGCACCTGTCGAACCGTTTTGTCCCTGACAATGACCAATCCATCCAAGGCAGTGGTACTGATCCATGCTCGATCAACAAACAAATTGGCGAGTCTAACTTGATGTCCCGACGTAAGACCATCAGTCATAACTACGTCTTTGAAGTTTTGCACTTTTTGCACCCTCAATTGCCGAGTCGTGTAAGGAGATCCCACGAAATGCATAGGATTCCCAGGAACGTAACATAACGTACGATATACTCCAGGTAAATCGAGTACTTGAATCGCTTCGGTAATCAGATTCTGATTTTCTGCTACCTCGAACACCAACAGATGTTGTCCCACTTCGTACTGTGCCACGCCGACGAACAGCACCAACACCCTTAGCTTTCTGAGCGCTTCGTAGGCCAATAGATCGATGATCGGGCGATTCGCTCGAATCAGAGATTGCACCGTGTACACTTTGTCGCGATGTAAATTGATACAGAAGCAGTTGCCGCTTGCTTTTTCGGCCGTCACCAAATATCTGCCGAAATTTCGATTATTTAAGAACGCTGTACAGATTTTTGCAACTCTAACACCCCAGATTCGAAATCTTTCATCTTTTTTGGGGGTATTTCAAAATTCGTCTTACCTTCCGGAGTACGAAAACCTAATCAAATCCAAAGGTTTCCTCTGTAGTTTCAAACTAGCTACTATTCTTGGTGTAGTCGGCTGAACTAAACTAACAAAGATAACTTCGCCCTGCGTGGTCCCTAAAACTATCATCGGATAATCCGGATGGGAGATTTGGCAGGCCATGTCGCCGTCGATATTTGGATCAAGCATCGACACTGTTGTCCCGCTGTAACACTCCAGAATGCTCAACTCTTTCGAATTGTCCGTTACTACGATATGGTGACACCAAGGATACACAAAGTCCACAAATCGATGGATTTCTCCATAGTCCAGGTACTGTGTGATCATAGGGTTCTCATATTCTTCGGAAAAATCAATTTTCATCAAATATCCTTCCAAGGTATGATAGAAGAATCGGTCTTTCTTGAACGGATGTATCGCAAGGATGTAAGGTTTGGTCACCGATTTCACGTACCACTGTCGTTGCCAGCTATCCTTTCTGGGGCTCTTGGTGAAAAAGCGGATTTGACAAAACGTCGTACGCAGTATGATGCCGTCTCGGAACCAGTAGACTATCGGTAGTTCTAAGTCCATACAAACGCCACATCTTTGAGATAGAACAATCCGGTAGACATTGCTACCGTCATAGTTGGCGAGAAAGATGTGGCCGTCGATGTCTGTAATAGCTAACAGGGGCTCGCTAGAAATTGGACACCAGTCTATCCACATAATTTTTTGTTGTTTGGGAAGCTTCACTTCGTGGTCTGAAATTTGACAACGTACAAATGAGTATATCGAAATATGTATGCTATGTTTCCCCTATTGATTCCCTTACTCTAAAAGTGATACGTTTTACTCGAATAAAAATATCAAAATCAAGAAAAAATTAGCTCTAGCGTTTTGGAACGAAATATCTCGTTTACATCGGTTGAACTCAACTTTCAAAAAGTCTTCTTGCCTTTCAAGACAGCAACATTCCCCACGATATCCAGCCTCCAAGTAAACATCCGTCCACAAGTTCTACCCATCTGTCCAATCACGGTAGGACCAACTTGATTAATTCTGAGAACCTGTCCAACCTCGTCTCGTATGTAAGTGTTCACCGAAATGATCTTCTCTCCGGTTCTCCAATTCCATACGATCATAGCAAAATGAGGGTAAAACCCCAGAGAAATGATATGGTCCTGCGCTGTGAACGCAGTGGCCAAGTATCCGGACTGACATCCACCGATACATTCAGAAATCTTCGTCATCGATGGGTAGGCCATGATCAGGATCCTGGGCCCGAGGATCTTCTCGGCAAAAGCGAATACTGGAAATCTTACGTGAGCAGAGAGACATCGTGCTCCTTCCCCAGAATCGGTGCTCGCGCACCAACGAAAGCTTAGTTTCTTATCCCTGATATTAAAGAACACGATGTGAACGCCTGTACACCACGCTAGCACGTCCGTCGCGATCCAGACTATCTCTTCGAGTCTGCTGCCACGAATCCAACTGGTATTCCACGTGTCGTGATTCCGTAACATTGGAAGATAGAGTTTGAAGGCGAGCAACGTCGGAAACGACAAATTTAAAGAGAACAGTCGACGAATTTGCGAGAGTCGTGTCAACGCTGATATATTCGATGCTGCATTCACACGAATGTCATAGTTGGCAAAATCATGTGTAACGAACGCAATGCCATTGCGATACTGTTAGGTTAAATTGTTCAAATGTAAAGTATATTCCAACTTTTGGTCGATGTATCGAAGAAATGGAATTCCGCGATTCGTCGGAATACCCGAACGCAATGTTAGTCGAGTCCACCGCTGGCAGTGAATGCAGGCACCAGGTCATCGAACAGAAGGAGCAAAGAGGGAGAAAGAGGTTGGCAGGCATCTACGGGCAGTATATCACGTGGCAAGGATAAGTTTTTGATCGGCCCTGGGTATACGGATGACTCCCTGCTGCTTGACCTCATCACGCCACGCTATGGGGGTCTTTATAAACCACCATCGACTGCGCGTATCCTAATCACCTTTTGTCTTAAGCCTGCCAAACTCTTCCTTCGAAGCCGGGTATGCTAACTTCTGACAGGGGATCCATGCCACCCGGTTGCTATTTCGTCACCGTTCCCCTTTTCATTCTAATCTACCCTTATTTTCGAGTCGTCCGACAATCTCCGCGCAGCAACGTGTCACATTTTAGATATCTCCTTTCGAACTTTTCGCAATAAATTCACCGTCTAGCATTTGTCCTATGCTACATTAAAATTTATATTCAAATAGCCTCTTACGCGATTGTTGATAGTTAGAAAAAAGTGTAGTTTGTTAAATTTCGAAGGATAATATTTGAAGTAAATGGAAGTGATTACTAGCCCATCACTACCTGCGGAGTAAAATTGCTCGGAAACTCGCAGAAGGAGAATCGAACGTCCATCACTACTGACCGCCAGTCAAACTTGGTTGCCCTTCGAGCCGCTTCGCCGCATCCATCGTGACGACGATGCGTGGTCCACGTTGCCCGAACCTGTGGCCTCGCCATTAAATTGACGCCCGCTGAGACTCGTATTTGCATAACCCGACGCCATACGACCGATCCTATCGACGTCCTGGTTACCTTCGCCTCGCGAATCGCGCGACCCGTGTGGGAACCACCCTTCGTCCTCGTGCAAACGACCAACCTCAATGGCGGTTCCAGTCATTTGCAAACTTACTTTGCTCGTCAGAAAAATGCGAGTCTCGAATTTTTGGTTGCGTCGAAACTTAGGGACGTTGAATTTTTTGAACTTTGGAAAAGAACGCGTTATTATCGAGAATGGATCGCGAGAAGTAATCGTTTTAAAAATCTGTCAGCCCTGCTCTGGATTATTCTCCAGTTTCCCCCTCTTCTAAATTCTCTACGAGCTCTCGCTAATTCCTTCGTAAGCTCTCCTCGAACTCCCATCGCCCATAATGGTATCGTATCCGAGTAAAATTAAACAATCGAACACGACTAACAAGAATAATTTGCATTTGGCTAGATTCTAGATGTTCAGATTCCACGAAGTTAGAGTAATCGTTATTTTTTTATTGTTTGTTCGAACCGTTTGAACGGCAGTGATTACCGAAGAGGAGCCGTTCTAAGCTGGTCCTTTGCCGCAGAAGTGGCAGAGAGAGGGAGAGACAAAAGGTAAAGAAGGAAAAAAGGTGCGGTAAGGTAGAAGGAGAAGGTAAGGAAGAAGAAACGACGAAGAAGAGGAAAAGGAAAGTGGAGGGTACAGAGAAGATCTCGTTGGATAGTGGAGCCAGAGGGACGAAGGACGGGGGTGTAGCAGAGAGCAGAGGTTACTTTTAATGTCTCGCGTCACGCAGCCCAAGGCACCGTGAGCCTCGCCTCGTCCTCCTTACTAATTTGGCGCCAATTTCCAAGCAACCTCCCAACAGCAAAAACTAACCGAACCATATACACCGCTTCTATATACATACACTTGTACCGTGCACTTCACCGTGGGCTCTGATTAAATGCTACCCGCCGTCTCTCGCTCTTTCTTTCCCCTCTTCTCCTTCTCTTCATCTTCTTCTCCCGCTTCTTCCGTCGTGGCTTTCCTTTTCTTTTCTTTCTTCTACACCGTTCCTTTCGTCGCTCTTTGCTTTCGTCGTTTCTTTCCTGTTCGACTCGTGTTCCCACACTCCGTGGACGCGTACCGCACCAGGGACCATTGCATCCCCGTTTCGCAGGACGATGCTTGATGCTGGAACACGCACGCGTGTGCTGCTGCGTGCTGCGGACGACTTTTAACGATACTGCCCTCGTGCTTTTTTTTTTCTTACCTAGCTATTTCTTTCCCCCTGGTGCCTTCGCTTAGGCCGTTCAGAGTTTCATCGACTACTTGAAATTTCCTTGGAAACGATGCGTGAATTTTGTACGAGTTCGGTCATTGGTACAAACGCGGATCGCATTATCATCAGCGTTTAGGTACAGCTTACAATGGTCTTAACTTTATAAACCGTAATGCTTAGCGGCGAGTTACGCTAATTGCACTTGCAATCATCGCTAGCAAACCCGCAATTAGCGTCGACCTTTGCACCTGCGTAGATGAAGAGCTCTCCGACAGCTGTCACAGTAGAAAGAATCGTAATCTAACGTTTCAGTTTACAATGTTCAACGTGTATTATTCTAAAAGTTTCTTTTATATTCTCGGTTCCTGGTTATTCCACTAAAGTATATTAATCTCGCAGGATCGAAAAGTTGGAAAATTCTGAAATCTCAAAATGGCAACTGAGAACGTACAAAGCGATAACGGGCAATTTCGCTTATGCGAATCACCGAATCCAAAGGATCAATCATCGCAACACGAGTAGGTATGCCGAGTATCACGAAAGCTGTTTCATGCCACCATAGGGCACGAAAGGTCCAAATACCGGACCAAAAGTTAGCTGAATCTCTCACGAGATACAAAAGAGTAACATGCTTCTTTCCGGTGAGCCGCGCCACGCCGTGAGAACGGCAAAACAACTCGGGACTCGAAATTAGAGCACGAAATCGGGTACGGGATTTTTTTTCATCCCCTTTAATCTTCGTCCTTGATTGGAGTAATAACTTTAGACGAGACAAGAATGTTACTCGAAAATCGAATTAGATCGAAGACTAACTTTCTTTTCGCGAAAGAACCAAAACGAACATCGAACTTAACTAGATCGTGGATGTTCAGGAATCGAAGAGAAACGTTCGCGAAGTTAAAAGAAGAAGCTAAGCCGATAATTCTGTTTTTGGGGAGCAGCTGCGTTTTAGCGAGTTGCATGTCAGAGCGGCTCGACCGACCGCAGATTATAGATGCGTCTTGGTGATCACAGACAAACGTTTAAATCGCTAAACGTCGAATTAGACGCGATTTACTGTACCCCAGGGTCGTAAAAAATAATAGCACACTACGCATAGACACCAGACTAGGCTGCCGATTTTTGGTAGCATCTTCTTCGACAGCTGCGATTTCCTGCCGGTAAGACGCCGCCCCTGCTACGCTTGTTGCCTTCCTCTCCGAATTAATTCCTCCAGATCTCTAATCTTCATGCTCTGCGCCAGGTTGGATTCGTGTCGACAAAATGGAACAGCGCGTGCCTACGAGTTACGGCCTTCCTTTTCTGCTGGCTTCAATTAACGACATGGATATCGGTTTCTCTTCTTGCGTGTAAATTACCCTGAAAGTTTTCAAAATCGAAAAAGTTGATGACGCGAAACGTGCGATTATATTACTTCGAGAATATGTTGCGTTAATGCAACCTTTGTACGTCGGTTAGGCTGAAACTTTTGAGAATCTACTATCCGTTTGAGCACGCCATCCGGAAAGTCTGCCAAACGCTTACGCGATAAACCTTTCGATTCGACCTCATCCGAAAGTGAGCCCTAAAAATTCGCTTCGAGATCGTAAAACATGTGAAATTATCAAGAGGTATAACTTATTTCGAAACGTAACGACTGCGGTTACTCAACATTAGCCCGTCCTAGTTGATCGGACAGCCGGCTCTCTCGCGAGACAAACGTCCCAGTTCTCGCGGCAACGATTCCGCTCGATCCTCTCGAAGCGAGGTCGATTAAGAGAGCGAGAGCCCACGACGAGGACCACACACGAGGCCTGGGTCACTCGAAGTCAGTAACATCAATTAGCATTCGCGAGCGCCTCGACGATGCCATGAACCGACGTTGAAACGAGCAACGGTCAGAGAAGAAGGGATGCCGCGGCATAAGTGGCCACGTACCTATCGTCGGGAATCGTTGGACAAAGCCGAGCGTACACCATAGACTTGCCACGATGACATATGAGCCACCGGACCTCTTTGTGTCGCCTTGAATACCTCTTAAATTGGGGAACCAGCCGTCAGAGGCTACTGAATATCGCCGCTGATACACTTGGCCCTCGAGTCTTGAACCGTTCTGCGATTTATCATAACGGATAACACCGGGACACCGTGCTCTTAATCCTTAAACCGTATCTCGACGCTATTCAACGATATATTTATCGAATTTAGTTTATCTACTTCGATTCATTCTGCTGGCAATATAAGGCGTGACTAGTCGAAACGTGGAAACGAAACGAGTAGCGATACTAGGCGCAACAACGTGGAGCTGCGCGATGGTAGCACACGGAACGATACGGAGCACGGTGGTACGGGGCGTAGACATATGACATGTGGCGATATTCGGACATACGGCATGTCGAAAGTTCAGAATATAATATCTTCTTAACCGATAATTACGTCGTACGAGGAAAAAAAATGACTCGAGCTTTCATGCGCGTACGTACAAAAGCCTGGAGAGGTTTCGAAAAGGAGCAGAATTAACTTTAATGACTCCGTCATTCTTCACTGACACCATCTTGTCAGTTAATAAATGTCGCTCCTCGAATTTCAAGGAATTCGGTGATCGACCTTTGATCCGGTCGAAAAAGTGAATTCCTCCCGGTGAATGTTGCTAAATCGTACGTACCCTGCAATATCGTCTCCGGTTTGCCTCGAGCGAATTGCTTTGCAAAGACGGGGAATGCGGGATCTTCGAGAAGACGGAGAATATCGAAGATCTTTGTGTAAGATCATAAATACATGATCACGATCAAAAGAATGTTAAAACTATAAATTTTAACACCTCGATGATGTCGAAGTCGTAACTCGTGGCATAAATTACTGTCATACGATAGTATTGTGATTATGAATTATCGATTACTTATAGGTATTATATCGCGGAGACGTGCCAATTTTTCCACAGAGCAGAAGTTATCGTTTTTAAATATTTCTTAACTCCATAAAATAGTATGCTCCCCTGAGATATTTATGAGAGAAAATGTTTTACCGAAAATTAAAGAACTGTGATAGAAAAATATTGCATGCCTACGGCAACAGAACTACCGTCTAAAAATCCAGCTATTATAACCGAGAAATTTCTCCCAAAATCACGATACAATTTCAACATCCATTTCCAATGAACGTTCTCCATAAGAACCGTCCGCGTAAACCCCGGTAAAGATCCGATTCGACATTCGCAAAGTACCCGTCGTTCATTGAACGACCGCTAAAAATTATTGACCCTTTAGCGAGACGAGGGAGGGGAAGGAGGAGGGAGAGAACGGATCAGCCAGGTAGATATATAAGAAGCAGATGCGTCTGTCATTAATATGAGCCGGCTAAGCTATTAATAACCAGTTAATGAGGCCTCTCGTCCCTTCCCTCTCGTGTGTCGTATGTGCGTGCGAGACGACTTGTGCCCAGGTAGGGATGCGACGTATACGTGCACATGCATACGTACGTAACGTACATTGGCGTGTGGTTGTGTATAACAAGGTGTATTGTGCTGGCAGAGTGTGTGCACTGTAGGCTATGGGGTGTACGACTGTCGGGTCGTCAAAGGGTCCCGGTGAACCTCGTGATTTATAATCGGGCGTGTCCTCCCCTACCTCTCGGACACCCTCGATTATCCTTCGCAATGACGGGAAATTTTCGGTTTCTCTCCTGAGGACCAAGCAATCTGAACTGTTTCATGAAACCGTTCTTGGCGATGACGAGAAAAGTCTGAGACGAGATTGCGATGCCAATTTGTACAAGACTAGATACTTTTAACGATATAACGTTCTACGACGAAAGTGTCACCAGCAACTAAATGCATTTGACGCAGTGCTATGAAACGTTATGACGATGATAAGTAGGTACGTAAGTCCTTACGGGACGTGCTTGGAACGGGACGAGAAGAACCCGTGAAAAATCAGATTCTACCGTCTAAAAAATGTCACGCGATTGTTGGCGACGACTCGTCAGAAGATCGTTTTCCCATCGGGGGAAAAACAAGGAGGAAAGCAGAGGAGGGGCAAACGAGTAATTAAATGAGAACCCCGACGTACGAACGCAGGAACGCCCACGCCATGCATCAACCGTGACGTGGATAGGTAATGCTGCTGCAGATGGAGAAGATGGTCTCCGAAGATATTGCCTCGGTTCGTACGTTAGTTAGGGTCAGCTATCTCGCGCGACCCATCTCCGCCTATCCAATCACACACCGCACACCGCAACTATGGCACGCAAGCCGATAATACACGGTGTCCCAATTATCCCGCGACACGGCAAGGCCCACGCTCGCCGTGAGAGAGGATTTTCAACACGCCCCTATCGCCCCTACCGATCCGGTGTCCGGGATCGAGGAGAGCCCTCAGGACGTCGGAGGTTTACCTTGTTTTTGCTGGACGAAGCTTCTCCTCAAGGTCGACGATCTGATTTATCGACCACCGTTTACGACGATAAATATTAATGAGTTTCGTACGTTTCTAACAACGATAACCCTTTTGCTACTAACGACAGCAGTGTACACATTTTTCGATGCTAATTTCGCTCAAATTTTAGACCCTTATATCCCTATGTTAGAATTGATTCGAATCTAATGAAAGATGTTCCAAAGATACGCGTATTTCGGATAAAAAAGAGTTTCCTCGTTTATAAGAGACATTGAATTATAACCGAGCTTACGCGAATATTAATTCAATTTTTATAATGACTGTAAAGTACTGGAAAGAATGCAGTTTATGTTCGAAAGCAAAAACTTTCACTTGTGAAAAC